TATCAGAAAGTCTTTACTTTTATAATAAAAAAATAGTTGAAAATTCATGTTTCATGAATACATTATATTTGGGCATTTTCTTGTGAGAGTGTGTATTTCTAGAATGTGCAAATTCTATATAAACACATTTGATTTTATCGATATATCCATTCGCTTATCAGAAAGTCTTTACTTTTATAATAAAAAAATAGTTGAAAATTCATGTTTCATGAATACATTATATTTGGGCATTTTCTTTATAAAATCACAAAATATGCTGTTCCCTTGAAGTATTAAAAACATACATGAACCCCATAACAAAAATATTTTATTTCTAATACAAGTTTCATAAAGTTACAAAAGTATACAAAAAACTAGCCTACATTACTTTTTTAACCCTGAACAATCAACCTGCAATAATTTACTTACAAGTATCGGTAATATATCAAGTTAATAATTTTTTTCAAAAGGAAGAGCAAATTATCATTACAATAGTTGTATTAATATATTTTGAAGCTCATTAAACATCTCTTAATTCCTAAAAAAACATCCTAACACAACTGAGACTCAAAATATTTAAAATAAGATAAAATAAACATTCGCTAAAAATCTTTGATATCTATCTTCTTCTTTGAGGTTTTACAAAACTTAATATTCTAAAAAGCCAATGACTGTATTCTTCAGCTACCAAAAATACTTCAGTTAATTCTTAAATAAACATATTTTCTGTTAATATTGTATAGCATATAAAAACATTACATTGAAAATCCAAATTCACAAAAAAAAAAAACTTCAATGAATTAAAAACAAGTTTAATTAAGGTGTTCTGATGGAATTGAACAGGCCATTACCTTTAGGGAAATGTCCTGTAAATAACAGACCTTTATATAATATTCTTAGAGCTGAAACTTCAGTTCAAGAAGTTTGCTTGACAGAAATAAATACCTGAAATCACTAACCAATAAGAGAATATGTTGCTACATTACATTTTTTCTATCTTTTGATATCACAGTAAAGATCTTAAATACATATATTAAACATTAATAGAAAAATAATCCTATGAACTAATATTTGTTAATTAATCAATTGAAATAAATCACAACTCATATTTGATCATTCTAGCAAGACAGTTTTCTTTTAAGCTTTACACTTAATTGTCTTGGCCTTCATTGTAACGCTGAAAAACTTTAACTCCAGGATGAATTATAGGCCTTCCAATCAGCAGGTGGGGCTAGATAGACACGCCTTCCCTTAAAAACAAAGCTAACAATGCCCCTGTAGCCAGCTCTTGGGACTCCAGACTAGAAGAATGAAAGCAAGTAGAAATATATTGAAAGTGTAATATAGATCACACACACACACATCTCAGAAATTTTAAACATTTCCCCATGCAAGTAAGATACTAAGAGAAGAAAGAATACTACAGTAGTTATAAAAACTCCATTACCATGACTTGTAGCAATGCATAGTACTTATAATTATATCCATTATCATGCTTTTTAAAAATATTACACTCCATTCAATTGTTTTATAATGACACCACAGTATTCATAGTTATCTCTACCATTTCGATAACAATACTATAGTAGTTATAATTATTACAATATTTTGTATTTTTCAACATTACAGTAGTTAGAAATATTACCATATTTTTGTAACAATACTACAGTAATTAAAATTACAGCTATTATCAAACTTTATAACAATACTGTGGTTGTTATAAATACTTCCATGAGTGTGTTTTGTAAGTATAACAAAATATATATATATCACTTGAAATAAAATTCACACCTTAGTAAAAATTTTGAATACACTTATGTTTATTTTGCAGAAACTTCAAGACTACAACAATCAAATTTTTTACCTTAAAATCATTCATTAAGCCCAGGGCTTTAGCCACTTTTTTGAACTCATTCATTGTATTATATGTTATCCGAACAGAATCCAAATGGTCTAACTTGCTCCAAAGGAGATCCAAAAGTGAACAAGGTACACTGCCATACACCCTCTTAATAAACTCCAAGTCATAGTTGTCCTGTAGAATTTCAAGATGTAAGAAACATGTGCAAGTTTTAAAGAAAAATTGTGTTATGGACTGTAAAACATTAAATAAAATATGGTGAGATTTTGTGATGAACAAACTTTTATTCCTTTTTAAGTCTGTTTCCATCTTTCAAAAATAATACACTTAATTGTTTGGAATAAAAATAATTAATAATGGCAACAGTGCAGTTAAGTCAATGACATTATTTGTTTGTGATGTACGTATGTGTATACACACACACATATATTATGTATACACTTCTTGTTCTTAACTAAACAAATTAAGATCTTTGTAGCCACACTTAATAACATCAGAAATTTTTAAACATTTTTTTAGTTAAACAACAAAAAATAAAGATGATGTCACACACTTACAAACAACTATGCACAATGATTGATGAGATCTTAACATTATAACACATCTTTCATAAACAAAGAATTTCATCAAGTTAGCAAAACAATATATAAATAAATAATTTTAACTGAATTAAGGGATTTTTATACACTTTCTATGATGATATTATGCTTGTAATGACAAATATACAAAGTATAACTTATTTTATTTAGTATCAAAGTTATTTAAAATTTATCAGAATCACAGGGCAGGAATAAGTTAAAAAAACAACAACAAAAAGTTATCAAATGTATGCAAAGCGTACGAGTCACAAGAAAAAGTAGGCTGAGCCTTCTTGGATAGTGTACAGAGAACTATGGTTAACATTCAATTTTTGTTTAGAAAATATTCTCAAGATTCATAAAAAAAACTTTTAATAAAAAGTAGTTAAGATTTTTTTCAGAGGAATTATTTACTTTCCTCAAGTCTGCATGGCAAAAAGAGTATGTAATATTTATTTCTAGCCAGAATAAGACTATGTTTTTTCTATCACATGACAAGAATGAATCACATAGTATCTGTAAAAGCTTATTTCTGTAAATTACTAATAGCAAATCTTTCATAATACAGAAACAAAAGTTTAGGAACTTTAAGAGAGAGAGGGAGAGAAAAAAATGCCTTTTAAATTCATATATTTTTTGACAGACAGAGTGGGGAATGAAGTTAAGAACTAGTTAGATGTTTTTTTACACACACATACATATATATTATATTGCTATTTTCTGGCTACTAGACCTTTCTTTTCGATATCTTCCTCAGGTTACAATATACAAATTACATTCAGAGGTTTACACACAAAACTTGTTAATCTAGCTACTGTCAATGAGTGTGAGGTTAATGTTTTAAGTATTGTCAAAATATTTTGAGTGCTGTATAGCATTAAGGTTTTCCTTCACCTTTATCCAGGTATTGAAAGGATGTTCCATATGTGTTTTCAAGATTAGTATATAAAATGCTCTAAAAATAACTTCTTGGTAAAGTCAAGATATTAAAGATTAATCATAGGTTGAAATTAGATCACTTATGAAACAGTTTTTTTCATTAAATGAATTTAATAACTTACTTTCTAAACATGAAATTCAGTTACTGCATAAAATGTGTTCTGAACCAGCGAGGGTCACCGATACCCACCAATATTTTATTTTTTCATTCTCACAGAAGTAATACTTATTTAAATTTCACTAAATTTGGTACAAATTTACTTTCCGCTTTAAAATGTTCATGCAGAATTTCTATAATTTTGTAA